GATAATCTGATCTCAAATCAACTAAGAAATATAAAAGCCAATCTAGATATAATGCATGTACTAATCAAAACAGAAATTTTAAGCTTTTTCCCTCTAACTTCAGCGAGAGCCTACTTATTCTTAAACAAGGACCCTAGTTAACTACTACTTTTCTTCATTTTTATATTCTTTCATTTCTTCAATATGAGACTATTCCAAACCTGTGGATTCAGAATATGAATTCATTACCCAACACGAGATCCATGCTCCAGGGTCTTATGTAAGTAACCCAGAAATGACACACTAGCAATGATGTGCAGCAATACAACAATCTAGGTCTAAATGCAACCCCGTACATCAGACCTAAAAGAACCAATTCATTCCCCAAGTAAGCCAGTTTATTTACATCTGTAAAATACAGATAAGAATTATTCCTTTGGCTGATAGCGCCATGGATCATAGCCTATAGAAACCCAAATCATGCCAAGGGTGTGGTTCTGCTTCCTCTATTCTAGCCACACTAAAAGATGCTTGTGAGAAGTTTCAAACCCGATAAAGGCCATACTTTCAGATCAATGGTCAAGTCAAAATTGATTCCAGCCATTCACCCAATTGCAATCGAATCTACCCATTGTTTACGCAAGGTTTAAGATCCTTGAGAGCAACCTTTGGTCACCCTCCTCTTGAGATGCAGGTGAGAAATTATCATTCAACAATTTCAGGAAATAAATCCAATGCAATTCTAGCTCTTTAAAGACACTCCATCCATGACTTCATTTACACTAACAGGGGAAAAGATAAGACAAGGCTGGAATCTGGAAATCATGTAGCAAACCAGTCTCATCCTTTCTCTGTTTTATTTTATTTTATTTATTGGTTTTTTAAAGGCAAGGCCAAGGCTTAAAAATAAACATATAGTTCCAAAGAAAACACCTGTCAAATCTTCCCAAGGAAAAGGACACGAAGATATTCTTGCATTCAGTTCAATCAACAGATTCAGAGCATGATCTGGGTCCTTGTCTGCACTATCACATATTTGGACAAAGGGAGAAAATTCTGGCATGGGTGGCAGGGCCGAATCTACATCATCTTACCATTCACCTTGAATGCTGAAACTTCAATATTGGGAAGCAACCCTTAAGTCCTAGACCAAATTTTAAGCAACCTTAACATGAAGGGCAGCACTAAAAAGTTTTGAAGGACTCAAATCCTACAATACTTATTTATACGGTACAACAAAATCTGGGCAGTTAACAGAGTCAAGGGAATCCAACAATAAGCAGGCTAGTGCTACCACATCAGGGGAAGATTGTCAAACTCAGCCAGGCTAGTCCTATTCAATGCTCACATGTTCAAATCAAACTGCACAAAAGGCCACTGAAGTTTACTTTTTAATGATATCTAAAACAAACTTATGCCGAAATCCAGGATGGGATGGCTTTCCCAAGAACAGATTATTTAACCAAAACCCACGTCCTAAATGTGACAACACAAAATATTAAGAAATCCAAATCAAACTCTTCTTCTGTACCACTTGAAAACCAAGATAAGTTAGGGTTTAAAGGGGGTTTGGGGTCGAAAGGGTAATTTCATAATTTTTTTAGGATAAATCGGTAATTTGGTGTGAGGGCATATTTTGGGAATTCGGTAATTTTGGTCAAAAGGGTAGTTCAGGTAATTTTGGTGATTTTGGAAGGAGGGTATTTTGGTAATTTTGGTAGGAGGGGGTATTAAGTCAGAGGGTATTTTGGGGATAAGATTAAAGGGGTAATTTGGGTAATTATGGTCAAGGGGATTATGGTGGTTTTGGAGGGGTACTTTGGTAATTTTAGTCAATGGGGTAATTTTGGTTAAGGGCACTTTGGTAATTTCTTGGGAATTAGGTCGGAGGTAATTTGAGAATTGGTCAAAAGGGGTAGTTTAGGTAATTTTGGTTGAGGGTATTTTGAGAATTTAGGGGAATTTTGGAAGGAAGGGCATTTTTGGGAATCAAGTCAAGGGTAACTTGGGAATTAGTCAAAGGGGTAGTTTAGGTAATTTTGGTCAAGGATATTTTGGTAATTTATTGGGAATTAGACCGGGGGTAATTTGGGTAATATAGCAAAGAGTATTTGGGGCATGTTTAGAGAGGTATTTGGGTAATTTGGGGAATGAGGGGCATTTTGGTAATTTTGGTGAGGGTAATTTGGGAATTAGGTTGAGGGTAATTTGGTGGGAGGTGTGTTTTTGTAAATTTGGGAAAATTGGACAATCTAGGTTTTGTCAAGCCAAGTTTCTAGTTCAATGGTGAGGATTTTGGGTTGAGTTGAGATGGGTCTGACTATAAAGGGGTTTTGTGTCCATGGGTTAACAAGATTGGCCAAAATGGAATCTTTTTAGATAGAAAGGTAAATATAGGTACTTTTGGCTAAAATTTGGCACGGTGGGGTTTTAGGGATTTTGGGTTGATTAGTGAGGTCAAATTGGCCCAACTAGGCCTAATTCAGGTAGATCTGGAAAGGGCTTGATTCGACTAATCTAAGATCTCAGAATGGGATCTATGTTCGGTAAAGGGGAAAACAAAGGTAATTTCGGGTGAAATTCCATAGGGTAGGGTTTTTGAGTAATTTGATGTGATTGGTAAGGTTAAATTGGGCCAACTAGGCCCAAATAAGGCAGATTTGGAATCCAACCAATCTGGAGCTTTAAAATAAAATCTTGGTATGATTGAGGGGAAATTGGGGTTGAAAATTCATTGTTTTAGTATGTCTGGAGTCTAATGGTGGGGTTTGATCTAATGGTTGAGGTGTAAGTGAGGGTCGATTGGGGGCCATCAGATAGGTATCGGGCGGGTTTAACAGTAGATCTAAGGGCTCTTAGGGTGAAATTTGGGTTTTTTTGGATTTTTGGGTGTTTCACAAGGATCGGAAGGGTTTGATCAGGTGTTTAGGGTACCTTGGAGGTTTAAGCGGCAGACCAAGAAAAAATCGGATGCTGACAGAGCTAAGGATGTGTATGAAAGTGCAAAAACCAACATTATAACATCTATGGGAGACATTAGATCTTGCTATTACCATGGATCTTAAACAAGGGTTAGTACTTGATTCATATTTGTTTGATGTTTGCCAATGGCATGATATTAATTGATAAAACTAACAAAGGATTAAATGTGAACTTAGGTTTATGGACAAATACATTACATACAAGAGGTTATGAAATAAGTGCATCTAGAACATAATATGTGTAATGTAAAGCTAATAATAATAGGAGTGCAAACCAGGATACACCTACAATTATAATTCAGTGCTACCTCTTCTATTACCTTGGCTCAACAATTCATAACAAATGGGAGATTGAGGAGAATGTAGCTCATAGAATTAGAGCAAGATGCATGAGCAAAAGGAAGAGGTGCATCCAGAGTCTTATGTGATATGCAAATACCACTTTTGCTAGAAGGAAAGGAAAATTTTACAAAATAGTTATTATGTCAACTATGTCATGTGGAATAGTGTTACATAGTTAAAAAAAAAAAACATTTCCATATATGAGCATGATAGAAATGCAAATGCTTAGATGGATGAATGGAAAGACTAGAAAGGATGAGTCAGAAATGAATTCATACAAAGGAATCTAAGAGTAACTTCCGGTAGGTGATAAAATGAAGAAAGTAAACCTAGGTGGTTTGGTCATATTTTTGGAAGACCATCTAGAACATCCATATTCATTAGAAGAAGTGATCTATTATAAGTTGAAGGGGCTAGAAGAATTAAGGCTATGTTTCTACCTTTCCCTACCTTTTCCTTCAAACCAAACACACCAGAAGGGGAAATTGAAAAGGATTTGGGTGGAAGTAGTAAGAAAGGATTCGAGTGCCCTTAATTTGAGCATGGATATGACATTCAACAGATCATGATGATGTTGAGATTGGACAAATGTAACTTTTTGAAGAATGACATTTTATTTGTTATAAAAGTACATTTTAAATTAACAAAATTGAATAATTTTCAGCCAAAATGAAAACATAACTACCAGAGATCTATCATGGAAGACAGACAACTTCCTTCAATGCTACCTAAGCCAATTAATACAATGCTAAAGATCACCAAATAAGGTTCACAAAAACAAACAGAAATGTCAAGCGATACTTTTTGATATTGATTTTAGTTATAATACACAATAAATACACTATCCAAAACTCCTTAGGCTGAGTTTGGAAGGAGTACAAATGCAAATATGTAGAGTGCAAAACCTTATATTTTGTATTATTTGGTATGTATTTACGCTGTATATATATTTGCATTTGTACTCTTTCCAAACTGAGCCTTAAGATTTTTCCCTCCTAATAAAATGGGGGCAAATTAACAAATAGGGGCATATTTTGATAAAAAAAGTTTTAGAGTTCAATGGCACACATTCAAACTTTTTGAAGAAGTACAAAAGAATTTGGATCCGTAAAGAGCATCTTTGAGTTTAAGGTGTACTAGAAAGAGACTCTTTTGATGAACGGATTGGTGCTTCAAGATAACCATATTCTGTAAGGAGTGATTAGACCTAGTTTTCTGATAACAAAAAGGAAACTGAATCAATTGCTAATGACTTTAAAAAACCCACAAAGTAAAGAGCATCTTTGAGTTTAAGGTGTACTAGAAAGAGACTCTTTTGATGAACGGATTGGTGTTTCAAGATAACCATATTCTGTAAGGAGTGATTAGACCTAGTTTTCTGATAACAAAAAGGAAACTGAATCAATTGCTAATGACTTTAAAAAACCCACAAAGTTTAGAGTTAAGAAGACTTTAGGGGACAAGCTAACAAAAACACATCAAGTTACTCATCTGATAACATCATAATTAATAAAAATGGACAAATATGGCCCCTGCAAAACAGAGTAACCATTTACTGAAGAAGTATGAAAAGCATTGCTGTGAAAGATTAACTATAGTATAGATTAATAGATATATAATAGTAATACCTCAATCTACAAAGCAGGGGTGAAAAAGAAAACCAAGCACCATGGATCATATTTGATCACATCGAAACAGTTAAATCAATGAGATCTGATCTATTGACTCATCATCCGTTCATTTACTTGCCCATCAGGATCGTTCTTAATCTTGTAACTCTTAGGTAAAATAATTACATCTAACATCTGGGGAGATGGTTAGGTCCTTTCTTTTAGTTTCTGCTATTTCCAATGCATTCTAATCCTTCCAAATGGACCACAAGCAAAGAGCCTTGCCTCCAATATGATCCTGTTGGCATCTGAAGACAAATTAGTATCAACAAACATACTTTTACAAAATAAAAAGAAATTATTTCAATCCTTCGAATTGAATCTGTAAGGATGAGTCTGTGATACATTTAAAGTTTAAACCACTAATATAAACATCTCTCCCTAGAGGTGATCTTTTATCTCAAGATACTGAATTTGATAGCATATTTTTCTTTCTTTATCATATCCTGAATCTAATTGAGAAGCATTTATGATTTATGACACAACACTCTGAAGTCTTCTTCCTTGAATTCCATATAACTATAGGCAAGCTGCTATTTCTTTAGATTCACAGCTGCTTCATTGTTCTTCCCTTGAATGTCATCTCCCTCCAGAGGAGGGCACGATCTCCCGCTACCATGCACAAGATTCCTAATGGTAAGTTTAATATCCTTATCTTCCAGCAAGTGTTCCAATGTCACGTGAATACCTAAATAAGTAAACACAAAAAGAGAAATGAATCTCTTGGTCTAAATTCAAAACAGGAATCCAGGAAACAATATCTTTTGACATGTAAAGGGTTGGATAAAGTATAAACAAGACAAACACAAACCCCAAAACCATGCATTAACTGATAGCTTGTATAATATAAGTTTTCTTTCTTCCTTGAATTCTTGTTCATTTCAAACATAAATACTCCATTACAACTTCCAAGTTTTGAGTATCATACTTCACCCCTGTAGTTCAGTAGAATATGAGTAATTATAAGTATCTGGATTTAGACCCTAGAATCCTAATATTCATCATTAATTTCCCTCAGACAAGGCTTGACTACCTTTAGAGATGATAAAAGCAGCAAAATCCTAGTAAATGAGTGATACTAACCATTAGCCTTTACAGTATTAGACTAAGGCTGTGTTGAGATTAATCTTTGAATTGAATTTGATCATATTATATTTGAACATATGATGAGTTTATGGGTGTCAAGGCCTATTATTTACTAGCAGCTTGGAACTTGACCTTTTTAGTAGCTATTGCTTTTGACCTTGGAATTATTCATAAATTTTCAGCTTCCATATGCCATGTTTTAAGATATTTTGGGATCAATAATGATGTTAAAATCCATTATGATAAATCAGGACTTAATGATAAATACATTATTTACAGCTTTAGTTAATTAACTATTTCCATTGTTTCTGAGGTGATAACAGATTATTTCACTTCTAGTTTAATGATTTAGAACCACACATTTTTTAAATAAAAAATTCAATCTGATTTATCTACACCCAGACAAACTTAATTTCTGTTCTCGTCTCTGGCAAGCATGCTAATAAATTTCCGTTTGGCCATAAATTACAGTAGAAATCACTAATTGCAGATTTAGTCGAGTTTCTTGTGAAAGGAAAGAGGGGGAAGATGAAGATTTCAGCAGTAGAGAAGAAAGGAGAAGAATAAAAGAGTAGGAAGTCAACCAGGATTGTAAAATTAACCCTAGCCGCCTACCTCTCATTATATTTATACTTAACTTAAAGGATGAGATATTACAAGGATGCCCTTAGTAGGGCGGCTACTAATATAGCTGAACAGTCACAACTTAAAAAAACATAAACTAATGGGCCTAAAGCCCAACAACTTCCTAACTAAATAAAAAACAACTCGGACCAACTCAACAATTACAAATGAAGATGGTCAACTATTTAAAAGAAAAAAACATGCCTTGGTGCATTTTTATATTTGTGCTGATGAAAATTTCAAAGGGGCCTTGCTTGGTGCACCTAGGCACATGCCTGGGCTTAGGTGAAAGGCAACCCAATGCGCCTTTTATACTTTTATTCTTTAGCCACTTTTATACTGTTTACATATTTTATACATTTTTTAATGGCCTAATAACTTTCAAAAAGACCTTTTTTTATCAGTAACGATTTTCAAAAGACCTTTTATTCTTCCTTGTTGCTGGTTTTAGTGCATTAACCTCTCTTCCCTTTTCTTGCACTTGTACACACAATGGCTCTACACCTTTGTAATCTGCTCTATTTGAACTGCTGAAATTACTAAGCTGTTGAATATGCTTGATAATTTATGTCTTCTATGGATTTGAAGTCTTCTATAGAGTATAGATTTGGATTTTGGCTTGTTATAGATAGAGTCACCCATGTTTTTTATGAAATATGGTTATGGATTATCATGTAGAGTTCTTTTTTTTACCCCAAATATCCCCGGTGGAGGGGCAGCCACCATTAAATTTTGTAGAGGTTTATATATGCTTTTATTTGATATATAATCCAGATTTTTTTATAGTAAATAGCCTAAAGGTGAACCAAACTTCTAAAAGATTCTGTGATAAAATAGCTTAGACATCCTACAAAGGGATTGCACATAGAAAACTTTAGGAAATAGTTACAAACTTTTACATGCCCATGTATGTAGAAAAATGCTAACATCAGCCAAACCAAGTCTTGTACATACGATATCTCCAGTAATGCTTTGGATTGGTGGGGTCATTTATTGTCTCCTCCCTTGCAGGTCGTGTTGTATACTCTTCTTTCAATGTTAATAAGTCCTGCTCATGTAACAAAATCCATGGTTTATATGCACATAAGGTATAGTTTGGTCCACCACAAGCTACATAGGCTTGTTCATTAATGTTATTCTGGTAAAATGTAATCAAAAGCCTAATCTTGACATTTGTCACTCTACCTGGAAGGGGAAAATTGCCCACATTGATGGAGCTTCAACATGCTGCTGTAAGATGAAATATGCAATATCTGGAACACATTGATCGGGTGGCACATCACTAGATCCCACCACTGTTCTAAAAAATTGATATCTTCTTTCCTCATCTTCTTCCCACCAAGCACGCATTGTGGAGCAATCGTGACATGATGGAGCACAAACCTAATAAGATCAAGGACACAATCTAAACTTTATTATCTCCCGATGAAGTAATTTCTACAATTACAGAATATTGCAATCAGGCTTTCTACAATCAAAAACAAGTAGATAAGTTAGTAAAATAATTTTTTGATAATAAAAAGAAATTTATTAAAAGAAAAAGAGAATACAAAAGACAAGGTGACAAGCTATCACCGACAAGAGAGAAGGAATACACCTCAAAAACAACAAAAGAAAAGAAATCTGACAAAACAAACTAACAAAGACCTCCCTCAATCACCAACTATCAACAGGACAAAACAAAGATAACAAACTGCACGAGCCACCTCTATTCCTCCCGCTCAAGCATTTTCTCCTGTCCAACATCAGCTTCATTCCACACCTCTCCACCTTCCCCCACTATAACTATTTTCAAACTCTCTCCCCTCCTCTCTAACTCCTTGAAGGCCCTTCTAGTGGAAGCCTCACCACACAAAAATAAAACCAAGATTTTTGTCAATCTCAACATTTTTTAATGTTGAGTTGGGCCTAGTTGTTTTTATTCTTATTTTAAGCTATTTAGTTAGGAAGTTGTCGGGCTTTAGGCCCATTAGTTTATGTTTTTAAGTTGTGACTGTTCAGCCACATTAGTAGCCACCCTACTAAGGGCATCCTTGTAATATCTCATCCTTTAAGTTAAGAATAAATATAATGAGGGGTTGGCAGCTAGGGTTAATTCAAGAATCCTGGTTGATTTCCTACTCTTTTCTCCCTCTCTTTTCTTCTCTACTACTGAAATCTTTATCTTCCTCCCCTTTCCTTTCACAAGAAATTCAACTAAATCTACAATCAGTGATTTCTACTTGGTATCAGAGCAGACCGAAGGTTCCTTGAGTTGTTTCTTCATACAGCCCTAGATTGGCCGACTACATGGTGATTTAAGAGGCTGATTGAAGTTCTCAGGTAAGCCCAATTTTTGGATTTTTTGGTGGATCTGTGTCCCTTGTAGCTGGTCTAGGGTTTCTCATCAAAATCAAGAAAAAACTAGAGAAAGGGGAATAGTCTTGTTTCTTTTGGACTCTTCAATTTTGACCTAAGTGAAGGGATGGGATATCCATCACATGGACGCCCAAGTCTTGCGGAATGGACTGGGCGAATTTCAAAAAAAAATTTCTCCCATCTTTGCAGGGAATCAAATTCCCTATTTTAGAAAACAAATTTTCAAGGATCAATCTTGAACCATGAACCAAATCAGATCTGAACCAAGAGGAGTAGGAGGGAGGATGTATCTGATACGGAGAAACAATATCTCCCAATGGAGGTGCTCACGCCCAAG